AGCCGGTACCTCTCCCCTCAGTTGTAACAAACAAAATTGGCGCCAGACATTGCCAAATGTCCCCTGGGAGTACAAAATCACCGCTATTTCAGAATCACTTACTTAGAGCAATTAAAATAATTTATCTAGTATCTTATGCTGTAAATAAATTGCAATAAAAAAAGGCCTGTACAGTGTTGTGCAGTGTATTTAAAAATTGGAAGAGTTTACATAAAATCTGTATCACTGGCTTCTCTGTAAGGTTTGGAGTGCCAGGCAGTTCTGGACACGAGCCAGAAGGCAGTGAAGAGCAGTTGTTTTCTGGATACTGGGTGAGCTTCAGGTTACCATTCTTCCTGTCACTCCCAGTTGGTCTTGACTTACCCCCCTTCACTCTTATTCATTATTTGCTTGGTCCCTGGAAGTATCTGAGTGTGCCGACTGTAGGTACTGCTTATAAAAATGTAAATTTATCAGTAAATGTACTCAACAGGTGTTTAGTGAGCTGCTACTCTATGCTAAGAATATTGTAGTAAATGTCACAGTCTCAGTGCTCATGTATCTTACATTCTGCTAGAATATTGTATGAACATGTTTTATATTACTGTACATTTAAAAATGTAAATTAGAACTCTCATACATTGCTGGTGGGAGTGCAAACTAGTGCAGCCACTATGGAAAACTGTATGGAGATTCCTCAAAAAATCAAGGTTAGAACTACCATATGATCCAGCTATTCCACTGTTGGGTATTTATCCAAAGAACTTGAAAACACCAATTTGTAAAGGTACATTCACCCCTGTGTTCATTGCAGCGTTATTCACAATAGCCAAGACTTGGAAGCAACCTAAGTGCCCATCAAGGGACGAATGGATAAAGAAGCTGTGGTATATATACACGATGGAATACTACTCAGCCATAAGAAACGATGAAATCCAGCCATTTGTGACAACATGGATGGACATTGAGGGTATAATGCAAAGTGAAATAAGTCAGGCGGAGAAGGTCAAATACCGTATGATTTCCTTCATTAAGTAGTGGATAATAACAACAATAAGCAAACACATAGGGACAGAGATTGGATTGGTGGTTGCCGGGGGGGAGGGGGCGAGGGAGGGGGGGTGACAGGGATGGTTTGGTACATGTGTGTGGTGATGGGTTGTAGTTGGTGTTTTGGTGGTGAACATGATGTAATCTGTGCAGAAGTGGAGGTGTAGTGATGTACACCTGAAATTTTTACAATGTTGTAAACCAATGTTACTGCAATAAACAAAAAATTTAAAAAAAAAATGTAAATTAATATAGAATTACCATCTAAACAAATGATATTGTGAACGTATCTTTCTAGGCTCAGTAAAAAATAATTGGTTTAAATGGTGATCTGTGTGATCAGCTTTCTCAACCTATTTTTTTTTTTTATTTCTCTGAAATGTGAAGTTTTTCTTCATTGAGCTTGAAGTAATAACCTAGGAAGAAGTTATTTCAAACAGTTGATCATCCTAAAACTTGAAAGCCTAAGACACTTGCTAAAATATTTACTTTGAGTGCTGTTTTTTGTAGTTTGAGGCAGTATATGATCATGGCACTCATAGTTGCAATATGTAGTAAATTCCAGTCCAGTGGTCTGCTTGTTGTATTATTTCTTGCATAGTCTCTTGTCTCATGGAATAGACATGTGGGGCTATCTCCTTTTGGCAAACGTTGTTTTTATTATTATACTTGGAGAAGCAAGAAATGTTTTCTTCTTGTTGAAGTGTGAGAGAAATGGCTGTCATTTTTTTTTCTCTTTGGCTTTTGTTGGAATCGTTTTACCTGGCCAAGAGCACTATAAAGAAATAGAGCTTTGGCAAATTCATCCTGCAAAGATTTATTCAGAGATCTACATCTAGGCTATTCTTGACAGGTAGTTTTCACAGAGAGTTATTGAAAGAACATGTTGCCTGTTATTCATCACATTTTGAGATGTACCTTTTAACACTGCTGATTAGCAGCTATGGGAAATCAGGCAAGCATGCAATTAAAATGGAACTTTAAATGAAGTGCATCCACCGATGCTAGACTTGACAGATTCTGGATTAACAAGAAAACAAGTGCGTTATGTATTGCTTCCATTAGCATTTCAGAAACATGCCCGTTTTTGTAAATGATATTTGTTTTGTACAAAGTATTTGGCTGTCCCACAAGCTGTCAGGAATATGGCTATCTGGAATTAAGGAGATCTCAAAGAATTGAGACTTTAATGCACTGCTGTCTGCAGTTGTGAAAATGTAACTGTGTGTACATGTAGTAGCATTTTATCATAATTTGCATTTTCAGCAATGACGGAAAGCAAGAATTACGTAATTATTTTGAGACATTGTTAGCCAGATTGCACTGAGTGGTTTTTATATGGAATAAATGTTTGTTGGATGTTTTCTGAATGAAATGACAAAGACTTAACTTGTAAGTAGCTGAACTGGTGTCCATGAAAACTCCCCAGATCTTGTGGAGTGGTCCTGCTACTTCGTAGGACACTTCTCCAAATGAACAAAATCTCAAAGTATTTTGAAGAGTGCCATTTATTCATTTCAAATGGTCTTGAGAAGGAATTAGGTCTAAGCATACTTAATTAAATGACCACTGAACTTTTTTGGCCAGCAGCCAATGTCTTACAACAAATAAGGAGACCTTTGAGGATAAGGCATTGGATGTACCCTTAGGAAATGTTAGTTTTTAACTCTTTACGGAACTCATAAAATATGTAAGGCAGACAAGTTTTTAAATTATTTCATTGCTATTAGAAAGATGGTATTCCTTTAGAATTGTTATATTTGTGAAAAATTGTACGTTTGTTTTGGAACACGCTTGGGAGAGGTGAACACTAATAAACTTGGAACAAGCTTATATATGTCTTGGAAAAATATCATTGAAGAGCTCTAGTTTTTTTTAATTAAAATAACTAAAAATACGTTGTTCATATGCAACATTAAGAATGTAAAATCTAAAATATTCTCATAAGAAATAGATTTATTCTAATAAAATTTACATGAAACAAGAAAGAGACATTACAGACTTTGTTTTCATCAAGTTCTGTAACTTCATTTTTTACCCCCAGCTTTATTGAGATAGAATTAACAAATAACATTGTATAACTTCAAGGTATACAATATGATGATTTGATACACGTATATGTTGCAAAATGTTTACCACAATAAGGCAGTTCTTTTCAAAGTTTAATAAGCATCAGCATTTCCAGGAGAACTTGTTAAGAGATTCCTGAGCCCCAATCCCTGAGATTCTGACACTGTAGGTCTAGGGGCAGCCCATGAGTTTGCATTTCTGATAAACTCCAACGTGACGTTCGTAGTACCAGTCATTGATCACACTTTGAGCTTTAATATGATGAATTGGGGCTGGCCCCGTGGCTTAGTGGTTAAGTGCGTGCGCTCAGCTACTGGCAGCCCGGGTTCGGATCCCGGGCGTGCACAGAGGCACCGCTTGTCTGGCCATACTGAGGCGGCGTCCCATATACAGCAACTAGAAGGATGTGCAACTATGACATACAACTATCTACTGGGACTTTGGGGAGAAAAAGGAGGAAGATTGGCAATAGATGTTAGCTCAGGGCCAGTCTTCCTCAGCAAAAAAGAAGAGGATTGGCATGGATGTTAGCTCGGGGCTGACCTTCCTCACACACACACAAAAAAATAATAATAATAGTGTGATGAATTGACAACTGATACATGGGCAGTAGTTTGTTTTCATATAAATATTTTTGACTGAAAAAAGTGGCAATGGATATTTGAAAATTAATTTTTACAAATATAGAGTCTTCCAGTTTTTCTTTAAACTATATCTTTATTTTAAAACAGGGAGGAGGTTACTAGAAAGTGGAGGGAAAAAGTAGTATTGGTATATATCCCGAAGGCTACATTATATGTGTCTGAAATTTCACTGAGAGTTTTGATTCTAATTGAAAAATTTATCAATAATGAAAAAAAGATAGCATAGATAAAATAATCATGAGCATATGGAAGCCAGGGGTATGCCAATATTCAGATGATTTTACAACTATACATGACTGTTATCTTTTACTAATTAAAATTTGCATTAAAATATAATTTTGAGAATCAAATCTCCATTCACGTGAATGTAACATTTTAATTTCAACCATGAGGCCTGGCTGTAATCTCTTATTTATTACTACATATTATATACAGTATATTTATATAGTAGTACAGTACTATATTTTATGTACTATAATTATATACTATATATAATAGTATATATAAATAAACTATATATTATACATATGTATATCCTTTGTTTATTCAACAACATTATTATTATGACAATCGTTATTGAATAACGGAGCCTAGCTATTATCTTTGACTTACTAAAATATATATGGTAATAAATTATATATATATATATTCAAACTTTATTCTGAAACTCTCATGTCAGACTCTAATGTTCAGGTTTATTCAATATATTTTAATAGAATAATTAGACTGGATGAATGTTAATGCTGTCGAATTCAGTGAGGTAAAGACATAAGTTAACAACAGTACATATGTATGTATACATACGTATATTTAATACAGCGCAATTTCACTCGATCACGTACAGGATTACGAAAAATAACCATATGTTGCCAATTTAAAACCAAGTTAATATTAAAATTCGTGAGAAAAAAAGTTCATCTGTAACAACGTTTATATTTATTAAATAAAAACACTTCTTACCCAAATTGTTTTGCCTGATAGTGAATATCACCACTTTTCCTATACTTGACCTCCCGACGGTACAACTTTTCTTTTTCAATTGTGTAGACATATACGTTTTTTGTCCCTGTTCTGTAATGGTGGTCTTGCTCAGATTCACATTATACACAGTTAAAATGATCCACTGATTAGTTGAGTTTCCTAAACGAACTGGCAGAAGCAGGCATTGAAAAGTAAGGAGCGCAGTTGAATTTTTGCCTTATGACCTTGTTTCTTCTCCGTGTTTGCTTATTTATTCTTGTTGTTACTCTCTCCCAGTGCCTGGAGCCCTGCAAGGAATCCTGGGACCTGCAGATGCAGCAGTGCCAGAGCTTCTGTGAGGTAAGACGGCTCCAGTGCCAGGCCAGAGGTACTTAGGACACGGCTTAAACCTGACAGTGCTCCAGTGGAATCACTGCCATAAAAGGACCCACATTCTTCTGCAGCTCGGGGAGTGCAATTTACTTCAGGGCGGCACGTGTCTGTGTATGTGTGTGTGTGTGTATATGTGTGTGGATTCATGTGAAAAAAAAAATTGAGTCTTCTTAAAACCAAACCACCCACTGCTTCCATTATTGGTTAATCAGATAGAAAAAAAAAAAAATTTATTACCTATGCTGGGAAGACTAGAAGCTTTTTTTTTTGCTGAGGAAGATTTGCCCTGAGCTAAAATCTGTTTTTAAAGTTACGGGCTGTTGCCATCCTCCTGTCTCACATCGTGGCTGTTCTGTGGGTAATTCTCTGCATGATGTTGAAATTCTCATGGTGTTTGGGAGAAGACACCTGTTTTATTTATAGTGGGGCTTTCAAGCATTTTCATCTCATTGTTCACCCTTTGGGTTCCCCATATTCTGGGCAGAAGGCCTGTCTGCTTTTAACATACAGGACGCATCTTACACACCCTGTGCTTTCAGTTAAATAAATACTGTTAGTGTCCTGGGAGATCACCGTCTAAAATCATCAGTCGTGGTGAAGAGGGGTCCCGAGGGGCTACTTTGCTAGACTCTCTCCCCCAGGGCAAACCAGAGATCCAGGGTCTGAGCCAACCTGGAATCTGCCAAGGTGAGTCAGCAGGAGGACATGGGGCCAGGCTGACTCCATGGTGGCCTCTCCAAGTAAGAAGAATTGGAAAGTAACAAAGGCTAGTGGAGAACAACAGTGGAAGGTCCACTGTGGCAGCCGAAGAGGCTCCATTGAGGGTCTTGGGGAGTGCACCAAGAAGAGATGCCCCATGGCCTCAGAATGAAATGATGTTATGGGGCTTCTTGGAATGGAACCAGGGGTTGATCGGCAACTCTTCCGAGCTACTCCAGACAGACATAGTGGTCTGGTCTTCTCCCCACCCTGCAGTAAGTTCTGGTGGGATCCTTTGCCTGGGTTTCACCTTGGAAGCCACATAGGTTGCATTCTGAGAATATGACTGTGGAATTGGGGTAATAAGAGCTTCATCAATTTTATGGTGCATAAAATATCTCCACAGTCATGATATCATTTGACTTTCCCAATAAACGTGGAGGTAAGCAAGGTGTCTAGTGGAGTCCACAAGAGTTGTGTGTGGAAGCCATGGACGACTGGGAAGTTGGAGCTCACCAACTCCAATGGCTTTCCCACTCCAGGTGGAAAGACAGGGTCTAAACCCCCTGTCTCTGACATCTCTCCCTAAGTGTCCAAGGGCTGCTGAGTGTGGACATCACTTGGACAATTGCAAGTGAATTATAGTGTTATAGTCGGAGTTTAGAAAAGTGTATAGTATCAATTTAGAAAAGTGGAATGAAAGTGTTTCTCAATTACTAACATGATCAATACGTGATCTTCTTTATCTTAGTTTTATCTTGCTCTGAAAGTTCCTACTCAGCATTTGTGACTAGCTGGAATATTGGTGATCGGCAAACTCTTGCATAGGGATATCTGTTGCTGGAAGCGCTTCAGGCCTGAGGATTACTGTCAATGAAGTCTTTGGAAGGATTAATTGGGAACATTAAAAAGACTCAAATTATCCAAAGGACTGGCAAATATTCAAAGTTATTTAGCCAATTGCTTTACTACTGACATTCGTGGCTAAGCTAATGATTTAGTGTTGTCAAATAGAAGAACCCTCATATGTCTTTTTGCATCCAGCCCCTTTCTAGATGTTGGAGGTGTTACAGAGTAGCATAAATCATGGTTCCTGCCCTCACTCAAGGGAGCTGACGTATTATCCATCTGTTTTTTCAAAATATTCTGGCTTCTTCAGGGACCCAATCCAAACTTTTCCGGAAAACATATGCTTACCTGGTATTCAATTTAATGTATCTTTATATTAGTTATCTATTGTTGTATAATAAATTACCCCCAAGCCTAGTGGCTTAAAACAGCACACATTTATTATCTCAGTTGTTGTGGTTCAGGAATTGGGGCACGGCTTAACTGCGTTCTCTGCCCCAGGGTCTCTCAAGGCTGTAATCAAGCAGTTGGCTGGGCTTTATTCTCATCTAGGAACTCAACTGGGGGAGAATCTGCTTCCAAGCTCATTCCAATTGTTGACAGAACTCATTTCCTTGCGGTTGTAGGACTGAGGTTCTGTTTTCTTGCTGTCTGTTGGCTGGAGTCCACTCTCAGGTCCTAGAAGTTGCCTCTAGTTCCTTCGCATGTGGCTCCCTTCATAGGCAGGTCACAATGTGGCTGTTTACTTCAAGGCCAGCAGGTGACTCTTGATCTCCAGTCTGCTGAGACAGAGTCTTATATAAAACAGCATAACCTTAGGAGTGACATCCCTTCACCTTGGCCAAAATTTTATTGGTAAGAAGCAAGTCACAGGTCTTATCTCATAGTTTCTGTACCCCCTGCCATACACCAGCACACACACAAGGAGAGGTGATTACACCAGGGTGTGACTCAATGGGGGCCACTCTAGGGTCTGTCTACTACAGAAGGCAAATAAAAAGAAGAGATTCAGCCCCATTGAGATATAGAACAGAGCAGAGACATCAGAAATAAAAAACAGAACTGATGCAAAGACAAGGGGAGTGAGCCATCCTTGTGTCTTCTATGCTCTATAAAGTGCACTCCTGCTTTTATTTTGTATTCTTTTCTGCACTCAAACCATATGTCCATATGAACTAAAATGTGCTCTTGTAGAATCTTGAGGAACAAGATGTGCCATGCTGTTTTCCTTATAAACACTTTATCCCTTAATATCACCAACTCTGAGTTGTTATTTTTGTGTCTGATCCCTGAGAACGAACATATAATTGAAGGTCATTTGAAACTTTTTCCCTGGAAATTCCGAATGTGATAGCACCCTTCTGTAATTGCCATTCTCTCTGAAATAACTGTGAGATCTTCTGAACCAAATCTTGTTTATTAAAATGGGACTCATGTGTACAAATTGTGATTTGCTCTGGCAGGAAAGGTTAATTGAAACTTGAAAGGTGGGAAGAACAGAGTCCAGGTAATGTGGGAACTTTATAGAGAGCCCTTAGCCCATTGGTCAGATAACTCAAACTTTGATATGCAATTTTAGTTTTTGATTGTTCTTATGTCTCTGTGGGGTATTTTTGTTCATTTGTTTCTGTTTTATTTTGTAGTAAATATCTGACTATTATGCTGAAATAGACTGAATCCTGAAAGAACTATCCCTTTTTTAGCATTTTTAAGACTAGTCATTCATTGAGACAGACCTAATACAATCCTGTCCATCCTCTGGGTTGTCACATTGTTTGCTAAGAATGCACACAAGGTCTATATTGCCACGAACCTCAGCTTTCCCTTTGAAAAAGTTCAGACCCAGGACTCGAGATTTTATTCTTCTACAACAGAAACAACTAGACTATTAGATATATTTGGCCCGATGTGTTTATTTGCAAAATAGTCTGAGCTTTATTTGTCTCCTAAGGCATGGGTTTGCAAACCACAGCCCACAGAGCAAAACTGGTCTGCGTCTTGTTTTTGTAAATAAAGTTTTATTGGAACACAGCCACACCAGTTTGCCCACATATTGTTTATGGCTGCTTTTGTGTCACAATAGCACAGATGAGTAGTGGTGATAGATCACACGGTCCGCTGAAGCTGTTTACTGTCTGTCCCATTACAGAAAAAGTTTCCCAACTCCTGATCTAAGAAAAAGGACAATAGTCACAATTATATCACAGAACCTACCTAACCAACCACCTTAATCTGTCTTACCAGGACCCATTTCTAAACATAAAGCATTGTTCTTGGTAATTTTAATTATAAAATAAATTTTCCTACCTGGAAGAGATTTTTGGAATGTTAATAATAACATACCTAGAATTGGTTCATGGCTTCCTCATGTATTGATCTCTTTAACTTCTCATTTGATTATCTATACAATTCTACCTTTTTTTACTTTCAGACTGATGCCAGAGTTAATACTGTTATTTTTTTGTGAAGAAGTTAAATGTTTGTGTTAGAACAGGAATCTTTCAGGATTCCTTCTGTGCACCATCTGGGATAATTTTTCCTGTATCATTTTTTGGAACATGATGAGTCGTGATAGATATATAGACAGATTGTGCTTTATTGCTTTTGTTTATAAAGTAACCATTATCTCCATCCTCTTATTTTTAAAAAAATCTTAAAAACCACAATAAACCATTTTTCTCACTGATCGTAAAATGCACGTCTCCCCACATTTAAATGTTCCTTTCTTCCAATTGATGGAATCTAAAATTATAAATGAAAATATTCTTTTTCTTTCTTAATGGTACATAAAATAATTGTGTATATTACAACTGATGTTGTCTTACTTTTGATGAAACATGATACATCCTAGTTTATGAGTGACCTCTTTGCTGGATCACACACTCCCATCTTTAATTCTGATGGTCCTGATTTCATGACATCCCAACCCTGAGAGGCACTTACTGGGGTGTCGACATTGGCGGTATGAAGTGTGCACTATGGGTGATGGAAAGGTGAGGTCTCATCTGCTTCGGGGATCAGTCAGTGAGAGACGTGCCCGTTGTTTATATTAAAGCTGTTATTGGGTCAACCTAGGTTCTGTAGGTGCAGTCCTTGTCAGTTTGAAAATAGGAATAAAAAGGAGGTTTCCACTCTGCCACAGACATGATTATTGATTTTTTTCTTTGTGCTTTTTGCTTTTCAGAATGTTTTCCAAGCTTATTACATTTGATTTTCATAGCAATTCTTAGAAGAAGTTACGTCTAAATTTCACTAGATGAGGTTTTTGGACAATGGAACTGACACACAAGGAGAAAAAGTTTTATTTGCCCAAGATTACATGGTTAATAGGTAGAGGAATAAGATTTAAAATCCAAGTGGTGTAGGGGCCAGCTCGGTGGCATAGCAGTTAAGTGCGCGTGCTCCCCTGCAGCGGCCCA